TATTGAAAGACAACCAAGCTAAGGGCATCCACGGGGCAGTGTCAAAGATGTTCATGGCTTCTTTGAAGTATTTGCGCCCCTCTGTTGCGACGCGATAGATCAATTCCAAAAGGAAAGCGATTGCAAAGCAATGCTCCAGAACCTGAGAAGCTCACGGATCAATCAGAACAAGAGGTCATGGCAAGGGAATGCCGTCTGGAATTCGGCAAACGCCCTTTGTCTTCTTGCTTTTGCGTCTGAAATCCTGATACAGCACCTCATCCTGGGGCAAGATCATGCCACGATACCATGATTGCAGGTTCAAACCCACGCCAAACATTCCGATTTCACAAATCCTGATACAGCAGAGCACCTCATCCTGAGGCAAGATCATGCCAAGATACCAGGATTGCAGGTTCAAACCCACGCCAAACATTCCGACCAATTATTCCAGAAGCGAATCCTACTTCATTTCCCTGACACTCCAGGTCCAAAACCATGACAAACGCATTCCTCGGCAGCTTCACTGATCTTCACTGCTTCCCCAAGATGCAGGCAGTGAAGAAGCACAGAAACCTACTTAACTTATATTCCAATTTATGTTCTGTGTATACTGTAGCATCTGCTGTGAGAATTAGGTGCAAACGTGGACATGTGTTGACTCCATGACTCCACATGCCAGATCTGGCTTTTTTACACAGGACAGTGCCATGATTTCATTGCAGGTCCAAGGCACAACAGAACAAGGATTCCAATGCAAGTATCAAAGCACCCATTGCGTCTCTCCTGCAGTTGCTGAAAAGGACAAGATTCTCCAGCAGAATTCTCTGTGCACTTTCCCTTTGCACCGGATCATGCCAAAGCACGAAATTCTCCAAAAGAAACAAGGCTGGAACCAGGCTACAACATAGCACGCGCCCATCGAGCAATGCAAGTGGCCTCCCTGCATAGGTGCCTTCACTGCCAAAGCGCCGCCACGGACGCTACTGTCATCCAGTGCTTACAGTGTTTGTGTTTACCCCTGCTTTTTGGTGGATAACCTCGACGGTCCTGGGACAACTTGAGGTTGGCAGCCGCAGAGTGGCTCGTCTCGAGGTCCAAGTTCGTCCTACTGGCCGCGGAGCTACTGGGCCTGAGCCGAAAATCAAATCAAGACCTGAAGTTCAGCACAAATTAAAGGATTTAGAGGCGAATCACGTGAGATCCTGCTGATCATGATTTCAATTACTAAGGCTCCAGACCGTTCTTTCAGTCCTTGTGCTGTTTCGTCTTCCCTCCCAACGGCCATGTGCAGCTCAGGCTACAGCATGTTGTTGCGTGCGGTGTGCTGGGCCAACCCGTGTCACACTATCACTATCTCAGAGGATTCGCCGGATGCAATTTGAACTTATTCCAATGCATCCAATGCATCTTCCAAATTGTATACTTTGGGATCTTTGAGGCACATCGATAAGCATGACTAAAATGATTCTGTGATTACTGCAATTTCCGCCACACAGTGAACAACAACACACGCTCTACTTACAGCTCTGGTGACGCCGCAGGAAGCAGTACAATCCACACCTCTCATCCGTGTTCTTGTCTTCGACTGCACCAGAGTCGTCGGTCGTGCCAAACGCATCAGCCGTACTTGCCGTTTCGGCTGTGCAAGCTTTGGCAGAAAGATGTACATCTGGTGGAACTTGGAGGGAGGCGACTCTTCGACCCTACAAGCAAGTTCGGAGTTCGGAGTTTAAAAATGGACAGGTTGACTGAAAATCAGAGCCGCTCGTGATCATCGCACTCTCCTCATGTAAGGAACAAGCCTGCACCATCTTGAAGATTGGTTATAAAATGTTATGATTATAAAAAGAATATATATATGTGTGTGTGTCTGTGTAATATATTTGTTTATATTTATATATATATATCTCTATTTATTCATTCATGCATTTATTTATTTATGTTTTTATGTAGTTATTTGTTTACTTCTTATTTATATAATTGTGTATACAACTTTTAAAAAAATAGCTTTATATATATTTATATACTAAAGATATCTAAAGATAAACAAAACCTCCTGCCATGTCTCAGGCTGCAACAAGCTCTACGGCTCGCCTCTGTCGTTCTGGGGGTTGTTACCAGACCATTCCAGGAATCATCGGCAGGTGCAGCCGGTTGCTGCGTGCATTTCACCATGGAGAGCGGCTGGAGGGAGTCCACGTTACAATTTGACGCAGCCTAAGCAGCCATGGATGCAATGGATTCGCATTTGCCGTTGTAGTTCTGAGTGATTTGCCGTGATCAAGAAACTGGATTTTAAGTTTCTCGATCTCCCTTCAAGTGGACAACGAATCGAATGATGTCCGCCAAGGATTCTTACTACTAGTACTGCTGTCACTTCCTATTTTTTGCATCCAGAACAAAACGCTACTCATCTGTATTCACATGCTGCTGCATTTGCACACACACCTCTCAGCTCATGCCAGTGCTTCAGCGGTCACAGCACCACTTCACTTTGCTGTGCGCACATAGACTTGACTTTGCTGTGGGGCGACTCACAGCTTCAGAAGCAAGTGGCTAGAAGCCGCTGTATCTCCCTTGTGCACCCTATAGGCCCTACAGTGACAACAGACAGCAATGCCGACAAGGTTCCACTGGAGGGCTGGAAAGGCCATCAGCATTAAACGGCAGAGCAACCTGCATCTAGGCCAGAGTCACATGCAATCCTACGCTGACGCTCAGTCCCTGATTCACAGAAAGCATCAGAAAGCACAGTAGTCCCGTAGTCTTTAATTTCCTTCCCAGATCTTTGGGCGCACACACGAAACCAGTGATGCAAGGAGCATGTAATTTATGAGCTTTGCTACTTCAAAGGATTCAAGGCAAGGTCACCAAGCAGGTTGCTACTCAAATAAATGAGCCACATTGCAACCCAAAAAACGAGATTCACTCTGACGCTCGTTCCATAGAAAAAAATTCAAGGGTGGAGCAAGGCACCCGTCCAAAACACAAAAGAAAACACAACAATTCAGCCCTTCAAGCTGGCCAAGTGCAATCCATAACCACTTCTGCCCGAGATCTGCCTGCTTACCCTGGCTTGGAGCATGCAGGTCTCCAGGATCCAACTCGGATCCCAAGGAGAACTCATAGCTGTGGTAGATGCCCGCATCTGCAGGTTTCCTAGAGATCAAGGGTGGTATCGGGTGGTATCATATGCTCTCCAAATCCGGCCCGCAAGCACAGAAACTTGTGCAGCGGCGGCTCGATACACTTTGTGTACTGGCAACTGGCAGTCTACATGCTGCAGAAAATGGTTCAAAGCCTTCTTGAGATAAAGGTAGATAAACGAGATTACAGGAGTCAAGTTCTAGATCAAAGTCTTTCTGCTACCATGACCGAAAATGATCAGGGACAAAAATGGACAAAAATCCAACAGGTTCCAACATATTCCAATGGATCGATGGATCGATGGATGACAGTCGATGACAGCCGATGACAGCCGACTGAAATGATGTGAGGGGCTCCAAAGAGGCCAGCAGCTCCAGCCGGTGCAGCTCCACAACATCTTTGAGCTCTTCATGTTGCCTTTTGTTCAGCTCCAACCTTGGATATGGAACTATGGGACAGTTCGAAAAATTGTGAAACCAGCAAAACTCCATGAGATTCACATTCCTTGACGATTCAACGAATTCAAATGCTAATCTGCTAATTACAGTGCTTTCCCTGAAGGCCCTCGTGTTCATTGTTTCTTATCTGCCAAAGTGCAGCTGCCCAATCAAGGAATCCAATGGCACCTGAATCCTGTCGCGATAACCATCACCTCAGGCGAAAGCATCGAACTTGACGCCAGTCTCCAGGCCAAAAACAGTCACAGGCAGAATCATGAGGTCAAAATCTTCCAAATCATATTCAAAATCGAACTCGTACAGATCTTGCCTTGGTTAGTTTTTACAGACTTGAACTGTCTGCATTGACAGCGGGACTATAAACCCCAAACTTGCCAGTCAGAATCTGAGAAGCACACTCATCCCGGCCGCGCAGCCTACCGGATTCAGCGCTCTTGCCCGCCTTTGGCGGAAAGAGGATGAACAGAATCCCTCGCCGACCTCTTGTAGATTGACGCGCTGTAGGTCTGTTGAAGATTGAAGGCCAAGCCACCTGTTTTGTTCCTGCTTTTTTTCTGCTCAACGGATTGCATTGTGAGAAGCTTCTCCTGTTTATCCAGTCATTGTTGACCTATTGCCTATCCTAGCTCGACACGATTCTACAGTGCAAAAACATACCTACGTCGTTGTCTTCATTTATCGGTTGCTGTGCCGTCGCTATCCATTCTTTTTCTGCATAAAGGCTTCAGCGGTTGGGGCCACTCTGCTGAGCCAAAAGCACGCCGTAGACGCAGAACATTCTCTATTGGATTTGACGAACATGCTGAGAGGATGTGAAAGGACACTTTTCTCAAGAATCTCAAGCTTAGTCAAGCACTGTCTGGTGTGTCATATCCAATAAGAACGAACCAACAGCATCCAGCGAATGGATGCCACGGGGATTTCCTAAAATTGAGGGAGAATGAAATCCACCAAAACGGTTTGCGCATTGGCATTTCCCCACCGGAAACACTGGGATGGGCTCTGTCCTTCTCAGCCTTCTCGGCTTTCTCAACCTTCTCGGTCTTCTCAGCCTTCTCGACCTTCTCAGCTTTCTTCTCCTGCGGTTCTACCGTTTCCGCCTCCTTGGTGCCGCTCTGATTGTGCCTCGGGTGCAAGACACAGGCACCACGGCGATCTGAGAAGATCTGGGATCCCCCGGCCTTGTCTCCAAGATCCGCTCATAGGCAGCCCGAGCTGCCTCCAAAGCAGACATAGGACATGCTCATCTTCGAAGATCAAAGTCCATCATGTCCATCGAAATAGATGAAAGATATTGAAAGATTATGAAAGTTACTGCATCTTACTGCATCTAAAGGAGGTGAGGTCTTGGGCCTTAGAACCATGGACACCATGGACTCGACTCTTCATCGGTTTTTCTCATTTTTTCCGCAGCTGTACCGTCATGGCTCGCCTTGAACTGTTCTGCATTCCCACCCTTGTCTGGATGTAGCCGCATTGCAGCCGCCTGCAAACACCATCTTCCGTGGATTTCCATATCCTTCCATGGGATGTCTGAGTGTCTAAGTGGTGCGTATCCTGAGGGGAAAAGATGCCTAGAATTGTCCAAAGGATTTTGTTTCGGCCTTGCCTTGCCCTCACCCAGCTGGGTCGCAGAAAGCGAAAAGGGCACCGGCCACGCCTTGTAGGCTTTGGTCAGGTCAGCATCAGAGATCTCTGGCGCAACACCAAGGATTGCATATGCCTCCAGGCTCCGTTCCGTTCAATAGTCAATGGCGAAAGCTGTGATTCTGAACATGGTCAAACACTAATGATTTGTGGCGGCCTCGTGATTCTGAAGGTGCTCGAGCATGGCCTGGCGATCATAGGACGATTGCTCCAGGTTTCAACTCTTGAAAGCACCTGGACCATGGCCCACCTTCAACGCATCCTTTTGCCAGGAGAGGTCCAACAAGTACCGGCTGAGCTGATCATTCCTCACCTTGTGGCATCTGAAACACTGCACTTCTTCTTGGTACAGTACCAGTACTGCCAAATACTGCAAATATCTTGGTCTGAAGCGTGGCTTGAGTGGACCATCCAAACCTCCTTTCCACCAATGTGCAACAAATAGGCTGCAGAAGAGTTGCCCGGGAAGAAATGTGATTCCGATCAGTTTGAGAATTCTTACTTGCTGACCCTGGGCTGATTAGGAAGATGGAGAGAATGTGTAGGCCCAGTTGTGAGGCTTTTTGCAAGAAACAAAGGAGTGCGGCCACATACTTCAAAAATGTCGATCCTGCCTCAAGCTCATTGGCGGAAAGCGACTCTCGTGCTTTTACCTCAAAAACGTGGAGAAGCAAGGAAGCTCTCTCTACATCTCTCTCTCTCTCTCTCATATCCCCAGCATTCCCTCCCTGATGTTCTCCCACTTCTGGGCTCTTCCGCTCTGGGTTTCCAACTGCTTCATCCTCACCCCACCCAAGCTCCTTTTGAGCTAGTTGGGAAGCCTGCATTGCCAAGAATCAGAATCTGTAAACTCACTCAAGATACTCAAGTATCATGCAACTGGACCTGGCTGTCCAATGTTTCCAGCTCCAATTTGTCTAGGGTTCAAGCTTTCCTGTTGTTTGGTTTCGTTTCTGCCCTTAACATTAGAAAAAGCTGGAATTCGCAACTTGCAGCTCTTGCAGCACATTGAGGGTGGTTGCTGAATTTTTGGCTGGTAAATGGGTTCTTGTTCACAATTAGGTGCTTTTTCAAGGATTCCTTGACGGTGGAAGTGGACTTTCTCGAACAGCACTTGCAAAACGAACAGAGCATGAAATCACAAAACCCATGCCAAACCAAAAGACCAAATGTGAGAGTCAACACCAGGAAATCAACGAGAATCCTACCCAAAAGGTGCCCTTCAATTTTCAATCATGGATGAGCAGCATTGTTTGAAAATCCCGATCCACTATCAACATCGTGCATGACAGAAGGGAACAAAAACCCACAAACCACCACAGTTCAGCTTGAGACATCAAATATCATCCAACAGTTTCAGATAGTCTTAGATGTCTTAGCATCACATGTCAGTGACATAGCACCTGGCATCACCTGGCATCACCTGGCATCACCTGGCATCACCTGGAGACCTGTCCGCTGCAAATGGCCTTTGCCGCGGTTCCTCCGCTCACTGCTTTGGTGCCATCCTCGGTCAGAAGCCGCACTGCTTGGCGGAGGACCTCCAAGTCGCAATGCACCTGCGGCATGTGGTGGCATGTGGCGGCATGTGGAACATGTGGAACATGTGGAAGCATGGCAGATCAGCAATCCTTCCCTGGCTAAACAATCCTGTGACGAAACGTTTAACATGACTTAACTTAATATACATGTATGATCATGTATGTACATATGTATATATGCATAATTCATAATAATACATGACAAACGGTACACGACTAGGGGGTTTTGTCTGGCGGCAAGCCCAAACTCCGTACACTCTCAAGACTTTTAGACGATGTTTCCGTTGCCTGCAAAAAGTGGAAGAGACCACCAAATTTGCGCCTGAGTTGCTCAAACATTTGTCACGTCCGTTCGTTGACCGCATGGTTTGATGTAACGATGTGATCAGAGTATACATTCAAAAACATGCGATTCCATGAGGTATATAGTGTATGTATATATATATATATATATATTATCCGCCGACCCCTGCCGCCAGCAGGGGGAGCGCGTCAGAGGAGGCCTTACTAGCAGCAAGGGGCGAAAAGAGAAAATTCGCAGGCCCGGTCCTCAGGGCAGGCAAAGTCAAGGCTTGGAGCTAGAAAAAGCAAGGTTTGAAGCTAGTTTCTAGGTAGTTCAGAAAGCAACGTTTGGCACGATGGGCTGCCGGCCGCGGGCCCGATCCGTCCTTCACTGCCATGGTGTTTGAGGCCTGCGGCACGGTCCTTGGACCCGAGCTGACGGCAGGAAAAAGCAAGGGTTGAAGCTAGTTTCTATTTCTAGGCAGTTCAGAAAGCAACGTTTGGCACGATGGGCTGCCGGCCGCGGGCCCGCTCCGTCCGTCACTGCCATGGTGTTTGAGGCCTGCGGCACGGTTCTTGGACCCGAGCTGACGGCAGGAAAAAGCAAGGGTTGATGCTAGTTTCTAGGCAGTTCAGAAAGCAACGTTTGGAACCATGGGCTGCCGGCCGCGGGCCCGATCCGTCCTTCGCTGCCATGGTGTTTTGGTGCTGCGACAGGGTCCGCCAAGAGAAGACAAGCAAGCTGGCAGGTGGCCGATGAAGGGCTGGCAAAGTCCAAGTTTG